TTGCTTTAGGACTTCAGGTATAGCAAACACGTGATTTTTTTTCTTTATATCAAATATTCATCAAACTGTCAAATATTCATCAGTGAAGGCAGGAAGATAGAGAAATTTAAGGTAAAGAAATCTGACTTCAGACTGTTCGTACCCATAGACTGCCCAGTGATAAACTGAGGCCTACCTCTTTCAAGAAGACTGTTGTACCAACTTCCTTTCTTCTCCTAATAGGGAGAAGTCAAGTTGGCTCCCACTGGGTCAAGCCCAGGGGTAGTTTGTAAAGTAAAAAATACAGAAAGCTAGGAAGAAAGTAAAAAATCTAGAAATTCAGAAAAGAAGCATAAAGGTCTATTTGTCCGGATCTCAGTTTCCACAAGGGCTTATTTGCTGAATGATTTAACAAATGCCTGAACGCCTGCTATATATCAGACACTATTTTAAGTACGAGGATACAGCTGTGAAGGAAACAATTCCTGGCCCTCACCAAGCTTAAATTCTAAGGAAGAAAAGAGACCAATAATAAAGTGGAAAGTAACAAGTGTTGTAAAGAAAATTAAAACCGGGGGAAGGGGACGAGGACAGGGCTGGACCTGTAGATACAGCGGTCCGGGAAGCCTCAACGAGAAGGCTACAACTGAGCAAAGAGCTTAAGCAACTAAATGAGCTAATCCTGCAATCCAGAAAATGAGCATTCCAGGCAGAGGAAACAGCAAGTACAAAGGTTTGAGGCTTATTTGTAGAGAAGAAAGGTGGCCAGAGTGGCTGAAGTGAGTAAGTGAGGCTGAGAGCAACAGACAGGAGGCGGAATGGGGGCGGGGGAAGGTGCAGGACACAGCTGAAGGGGCCTAGAGTGTCTTTGAGGGACTCTGGCTTTTACTCTGAGCAACACAATCACTGAAGAGTTCTGAGCAGTTTTAGAAGAGTAGCTCCTAGGTGGAGAACAATTTGTAAAAGAAAAAAAGGACAGAGGGGATCATGGTTTGGACCAGGGTAGTGAGAAGTACAGATTCTCCATGTATTTTGAAGGCAGAGTCAGTAAGATTTTCTGACAAGTCGGAAAGGAATGAGAAAAAGGAGAATCAAGGATGACCGAGGCTGTGGGCACAGCCGGTGGGATGATAAACTTGTCATCAAGGGAGAAAGGGGATTATGAAAGAATAGGTTTAAGGGAGAGACCAGTTCAGTTTCAGCTTCGCTGAATTGGGAAGAATATGGAAATATCAGCTATTCAAGGAAAAATGTGGTGTACACGACTGGTTACACAAGTCCAGGGTTCAGAAATACACAAAGTTATCACCACAGATTTAATCTGGGATTCTTATGTGACCCTGTTTATCTTTTCAAGGGATCAGCCTGGGTCACAGATTAAAACGTTCTTCTAACGGGCAACCGATTCAATACAATAGCAGAATTAAAATGGTGTGTTAGGTAGTACTGCCCTATTCTCTAGGGACATGATCTATCCAGCAGGAAAGGCAGTCTATGATTAGCACCAACATGACCTCCCAGAAACACCTGGCACCAAACTGCAGACATTCCAGAGACAACTGCACACTTAAATTCACACCTCTGCCTTTACCATCCTGGTTCCTACCCCCAGATTCCACTTTCAGTGATGTCAGGTCTTGGCATCACTGTCCCCAATGTCTGCTCACCACATAAGATAATAATAATGACTTAGGTGAAACTTACACCCAACAGTCATGTAAAAAAGAAACTTGCTCAATACTGCTGGCACTTCAGTTTACTTTTGCCTTCTTAACAACTGAATCCTCCTCAATCCTATTTTAACAATCTGCAAAGGTTGAGATTTTTTCCAATTTCAAAGGGGTTGTCTCACATTTTATACTTAGTATAAATTTTATACTCAGTAAATATTTTATGCTTAATGTATATACTTCAGAGATGATTTTTTTTTTTAGTAAATGTGTTACCAAAGGGACGATAGAGATGATTTTTTTTTAAAGATTTTATTTATTTATTAGAGAGAGAGAGAGAGAAAGCACATGAGATGGGGCGAGGGTCAGAGGGAGAAACAGACTCCCCGCCGAGCAGGGAGCCCAATGCGGGACTCGATCCAGGGACTCCAGGATCATGACCTGAGCCAAAGGCAGTCGCTTAACCAACTGAGCCACCCAGGCACCCGAGATGATTTTCTTAAATGCCTAACATGGACAAGCCATAATATACCATAAATCTGGAGAACATAAGGCAGGCAGAAAAGGGGAAGTAAAGGTTAATGTTCAGTACATGGGGGATTCTGTTAATTAACCCAACACAAGGTAAACAAAAAAATGTTTTACACATATTTCAGTGATGTTTACAAATCAGGATAGGATTACCCAAAAAAGACACGGTCATAATTGGTACAACAGTTCAGAACCATATTGTGTGGTGAAGTAAAAAATATCTGTTGAAAGGGAAAACAGAATGCACATTACTAAGAACTAAATACAATTAATACTCAGCCCTAAGAACCTAGAAACTCTGGAGTGGGAGTAGGGACTTAACGACAAAACTGTTTGGTAGATGAAATAAAATCAAATATAATATTGGTCCTGCTGGCATGAGTTTTTGTTCCACCTTTAAAATGAAATCACAGGGGCACCTGGGTGGCTCAGTCGTTAAGTGTCTGCCTTCGGCTCAGGTCATGATCCCAGGGTCCTGGGATCGAGCCTTGCATCAGGCTCCCTGCTCTGCAGAGAAGCCTGCTTCTCCCTCTCCTACTCCCCCCCTGCTTGTGTTACCTCTCTCGCTGTGTCTCTCTCTGTTAAATAAATAAAATCTTTAAAAAAATAAAAAATAAAATAAAATGAAATGAAATCACAGCCATCAAAACGCAAAGAGGTACAAGGATGGTTATCCCAAAAGAAATAAGAATATGTAGAGGGGCACCTGGGTGGCTCAGCTGGTAAAGCGTCTGCCTTCGGCTCAGGTCATGGTCCCAGGGTGCTGGGATCGAGCCCCACATCGGGCTCCCGGCTCGGCGGGAAGCCTGCTTCTCCCGCTCCCACTCCCCCTGCTTGTGTTCCCTCTCTCACTATGTCTCTCTGTCAAATTAAAAAAAAAAAAAAAAAAAATCTTTAAAAAAAAAAAGAAATAAGAATATGTGGAAATAAAAGGGTGCAACAAAATGAGAGTAGTCATAAAGAAATAACAGCCACATAGACAAAGTTATACTGATTGGTCTAATTTGTGTTTCAAGAAGAGAAAATATTTCAAAGTAGAAGTTCTTATCCTGAGATCCAGTAACCTGAAGAAACTACGAACCTCTGACTTCTAAAGGATTCTATGACCCCAACAGAGGTAATTGTCCCAACGTACTTCATTTCCATCTGTAAACTTATGTGTACTATAACACGACCTTGTACTAAAGGTATGCGTAGCGCATTACCACCTGCAAAAATGATTTTAAGAGTTTCCAAAAGGCATCGAGGTAATTTAAGGACAATCACACCTAGATACAAAAGGTCACATAAGATTCCACTTGTATATGGAATATCCAGAATAGGTAAATCCACAGAGACAGACTTGGGAGAGGAGAGGAGGTAGAGTAACTGCTTAATGGTACAGGGTTTCCTTTTGGGGTGATAAAATGTTTTAGCACCAGACAGATGGTGGTTGCACAACACTCTGAATGCACTAAATGACACTGATTTGTTCACGTTCAAAATGGTGAATTTTATGTTGCAACTTTGGCGTCAATAAAATAAATAAAACTCTTTGTACCTCCTTTAAAAAAAAAAAAGAAAGAAAATTATACCACATAGGGTACCCCAACTTGAGAGGAAAAAAAAAAATCAATGGGATGAAATGGAAAAACACAGATAGCCTAAAATGGCTCAGTGTGCTTTCATCCCTAGTCCTCAAGAAAATTGGAGCCAAGAGTTACTAAGTGCCTACTGTGTTTTGGTGTTCAGAAGGACTCACCTTGTACATTCTTTTTGCCGGAACAAAACTAAAATAAAAAACTCAAGATTTCTTGAAATCTACGCTTAGGACTTACAAGTTCATACAGTTATGTCTTCCGTTCTTGGAGCTATATTCAGGAGGATAAACAAAAGAAATTCATACTGGGAAAAAAAACATACACATACAGCTAAGCTATATTTAAGGCTTAGCTATTGTTCCACACAATATTTAACTTGAGTAGTCACTCCAAATTATCCTTCACAAAAATTTTCTTTACAAAACAAAATGTCAAGGTAAGCACCCCATCCAAATAATTTAAATCATAAAATTCAAAAAGCTAACCTACTCAAAAAGAAACAAAAAAGCACAGGGAGTCCAGTAACTCCTTTTGTGAATTACATCACAAATATTAACCTCACAAGGTCTAACTAGAGAAAACCCTGCTCTCACAACATGTCCTGGTCCTTCGACAGGTCTGAATCGGTAACTGGGACCAATATCCAAAATTTCTTTAGGAAGCACTAATACCACAAAATATACAAATCATAATTTGAAATGTGGAATTCAGCTGGCTACATGAAATCAGTTTCATAAAATGTGCAAATATTAATTATATGACATTCACGTTAAATTAACATCTGCATTTTCAAGGTCAGTATTATGTTTGTTCAACTTCTTGGAGTCACATTTTTGTGATATTTTTAACATCTGACTAAAGCGTCTATCATCACAAGATGCTCACACTGTTTACAAACACTCTGAAGCAGCAGCTGGTGTTCCTCAGTCACATCCTGTTACAATAAATAGAGGAGCAGCTTTAAACTCCAGGTATATTTTTCTCCTACTGATGTGTAAAAAACTTTGCTTTAACTTAAAAAGTTTTTCTCCCTAATGATGGAAAGACACACAATGAAATGGAGGCAATTTAGAACAAAGTTATAACAAAATCACAAATACAGAGATTCTCATGCATGCATAGTGGGAGTACAGCTATCATGCTGAATGATCGAAATGCTAAATAATATTGACCCTGCTTAGATCTTTCATGTCATTTTTAATACCTTTTCCCATCCCATTCAAAAAATGCAGAAACTTACCCACACAAGCATTGAGGAATAGCCAATCAGTCTTTTTCATCCTGTTTTTAATTTGTTTTAGTTTTTTAAAGTCCACTTCAAGTTCCTCCTTGCTGCCAACAGCACCAGCCAATTCAATCCTCTGAAAATCCATTTTCATTTCAGAGTCCCGTTTCATAGTGGGAGGCGATCTTCTTTGGCTATTCCCACTGCTGCAGCTTCCCCTCCACCGAGCTCGGTCTTGCTCATTTATTATTGAAGAGGCCTCTTCAGTCTCTGCCAACTCTATTGCTTCAATATTATTAGGCCTGGGATGATCGCAAACAACACATTTTTTAGCCTTGGCCCAGTTTTCATATGTGCAAATAGAACAAGTCCAATGCTGGGTCCTTGTGTTCGGTTTATTTCTATCATTGTATTCCTCGCAAGGATCAAGAGAAAAAGCAACTGGTCTTGAACCAGATCCTGAGGATTGAGGAGATTCTGTGGGACTCCTGGTCCTACGCTGGGATAAGCACTGGGTACATCTGATTGCTCTTGGCCAGTTCAAATAGGTACACATATGGCATGACCATTTATTTGCGTTTTCCATGCTGTACGAAGACTTAACCCTGGGTCTTGCACTAGAGTCTGGACATATCAAAGGACTACTTCCTCCTTCAGTGCTAGAAGGATCCCAATCTCTACCAACATCACTTGAACCACTTTTAAATGGATCTTCTGTAATAATTGTTCCACTTGGTCTTTGGGCGCGACACATAGTACACTTGATCGCAGATGGCCAGTTTTCATACGTACAATATTCACAAGCCCACTTAATTCCACGTTCTGACATTGTGCTCTTCTTGAAGTGAGTTATGTCAGGCAGGAAGCTATAAATAATTAGGACATGGTTATTAAAACAGTAACTACATAATTCCATCTCTGTGCCCCAAAAGTACCCTTCAACTTGTAAAATATAAATCTCTCAAAAGAAGCCTGTAAGATTTAGCAATGAACTATCCTTATTTTTCCACTTTCCATTAGAGACACCAGAGATAAGCTCCCAAAGAAAAAATCTTAGACCTCAGGGATTTAATGAAATTGTACTTTAGAATGCAAAAGAGATAAGCAGGAGATAAAGGGACGTTTGTTCTAAGACAGAAGCAAGTTAAAACAGAGAAGCCGCTAATAGAAATGTTTAATTTAAGCCAGGTCATCACCATCAATTTAGAAAAGTAACCAACAGTTAAGATTCAAAGAGAAGGGAAAGAACACAAACCAAATAAACACATAACCATTCTCAAATTATGAACAACTTAGATTCTTATGCTCTCTAGGTACAGTATCGTTCTGTTTGATTTACTGAAGAATTCAGATCAAACAAAGTCAATTCTATCATTTTTGCTAAGGAAGAAAAAGCAGCTTAAAGGTACTACTTATCCACTGCTCTTAATAAGCACAGGAGAAAAGAAAAATGTTGAAGAGTAATCCTTACAATCAGAAAATAACACTGAAATACAGATTAAGTTCCTTGATAGCCTACACCGTCAAAATCTAGTTCTGTCTGGAGCACAAAAAAAATAACTGTACATCACCTATTGGCACAATAAAATCGCCGGAATGTCCCTAAGATAACTACTAGCATGTTCATGCCAATATAATTTTGAATATTCAAACTTATATGAAAAATATTCAATATTTAAAACATACTCAAAATTCAATTCATACTAAACACATTCAATATTTAAAAAGGTTCCTAGGATTCTTCCCTGGGCTTATTACTAACACCACACTAAAATGAAGACTTCATGATTTAATGCCAACTAATTTATGAAGTAACTTCCACAGCAAATTTAATAATTACTTTTTTTAATGGCAGCCACTAAAGCCATTTTCTTATATCCCTTCTCAACTAAATATCATCCTGCCACCTATTTTTAACCAGAAAAGTGAAAAATCCTAGGCAGAGTAAAGAGAAGCTTTTGCCTCCCTTTCACAGAGATTTTTCCTGACCTGAAAAGCTCAATTTTTGGCTTTGTATGTGTATTATTGTGCCTCTGTCCGCCAAGTCCTCACTCCATTTATACTGTGAACTCCGTTAAGAGGACAAATTCACTACAAGAAAGGCTATAATTTATTAGCCAAAATAAAAATCACACTAAGGTTTTAGTTTCCATGCTATAACCTCCACCTTGCACATGGTCAGAATAAAAGTATGATTTATAAATCAGACCAAAGACAAGATTCAGTCTTCATCCTGGCTCAGATTCTGACTTCCTCAGTAGACTCTACGGGCAAAGCGTGCTAAGTGGTTCTGACTGTGAATAGCTAGTCCTGTAAAGGAAACCAAAACTGAGTTTCACTTGAAGCCTGCTACTTTATCCAGAAGTATTTATTTTTTTAAAAAAGCCTTTATTTTAATCCTACTCGTTTCTTTTAATAATGGACTACTGTATTTAGCACTTTAATAAATTAAATTTATTTAACAATAAAATTAGCTGATTGGGCTGGTCATGACACGGGAAAGACACTTTTCTCTAAAGCCTTAAACATGTGTGTATATTCACTAATGGCATTGTTAATATTAAGTTAGTAGTGTTAAGTCAGTTCCTACCCATATTACTTGTTATTACTGAAAAGAAAAAGATGGTGTAAACCAAGGAAGTAGAAAAAGCAAAAAATAAATACGGCTTGTATTTAGCCTGAAGTCTTTTTCTCCTTCAGCAACTGTATTTTTTCCCTAACCCAGGTTATTTATATTTATATTGCTTAGATTTTGAAATTTAGTTTGTACATATGGATTACACACACTCTTAACACCAGTCCAAAAGTGTGTTGAAGAGCAAGGAACTATAATCATATAAGCATCCATAAAATGGACAATCTAATTTAATGGCAATTTTCATATTCATTAGGCAGTTTCTTCCTTTAGTTTCTCAGGAATGAAATATAAATAAGTTGCTTGTGCTATTGGAAAAAAACATGATCAAGTAGAAACTTATGACAAGAACAAATGACATAATGAATATACATCCAGGGCTACTATAAGTAATTTCAGTATTTCATTTAAAATATTCACATTCAAAACATCATGCTTGCTTCAGTAAGTCTTACTTTGATATGTTTACAGGCCCAACTAAACAGCTTGTGACCTTACATTATCTTAGCTAATCTTCATGGAACTAATGTGCCAGCACATGTTTAAATGTCCACGTGTGACAAAAGACCAAAAAAAAAAAAAAAAACTACTATAAAAAAATAGAATCATTGTCGTATATGCCTGGTAAATAGCCTCCCTCTTTAAAAATCCAGGTAACTGGGTGCCTGGGTGGCTCAGTTGGTTGGGCGACTGCCTTCAGCTCAGGTCATGATCCTGGAGTCCCTGGATCGAGTCCCGCATCCGGCTCCCTGCTCAGCGGGGAGTCTGCTTCTCCCTCTGACCCTCCCCCCCCTCATGTGCTTTCTCTTTCTCTCTCAAATAAATAAATAAATAAATCTTAAAAAAAAAAAAAATCCAGGTAACTAAGCAATACCAAAACCATGCTCCAAAGTTTTAAGGCAAGTGCATTATATTAAACAATGATGTATACAGTATCAACTCTATGGGAAATTAAGACTTTGTAGAAATACCGTTTTTTAGTAACTGAAAACTAAAACTCATTGGAGAGGATTATCTGAGAGAGCCATTTGTACCTGCTGTAATCAGTAAATGGAATGGAAGAGTAAAGATAACTTTGGCTCAACTATATGCTTTTGCATTATTGAGATGAAATTAACACTAAGCACACGTTTTCTTCCAGTTGTCAAAAATCCCCCCAAAAACATAAAATTATGTTTAATAGCAACCAGCTCTGAGAATTACTATTATACACTGAAATAAAACTGTTACTAAATATCTCTTAAGTTAACATACAGTCATATACCCAAGTAAATTTAATTTACAAGTCTAATTTTACATGTAACAGACTTCTAAATTCTATCCAATGAATCATACTTCAATTAATTGGTACAATATAAAAGCAAAAATAAAATCTGCACAATCTGGACCCTCTTTAAGGAGAACCAGACACAATTTCTACTCTTCAAACAAATATTCCTTGGTTCGAATGCAATACCAGCAATTCCCATCCTGTGGACCAAAGAATCCATGAATCCATTTGTGCATCAAGCTCTACCTGTAGACAGACTGAATAATGTCTCCAAGTATATCAAGCAGTTCTAAACTGATCAATGCTTTTGATTATATACTTCCCACTTGAAATAATAATAAAAGCGCAAGTATTATGGTATATGGATTAATGATCAGGGGAAAACAGAGGCTAGCAACTGAACATTTTTTATATTGTCATGCTTAATAATTAATTAGACCATGGTCATATTTGTGAAGCATTACTAAACACTGTAGAAGAAATAGATCTCTATTAAAGGCAATTCCTCAAAATTGTAGCTACTCTACAACTTCTCCCAACCACCTACTAAAACCCTATGGAAAAAAAAACTGGAGATGTGAAATAATCCTCATCATGTATAAACTCTTTAAGAGAGAAGCAGGGTGCCTGGGTGGCTCAGTTGGTTGCGTCTGCTAATGGCTCAGGATGTGATCTCAGGGTCCTGGGAGAGAGCCCCAGATCAGGCTTCCCTGCTCAGTGGGGAGTCTGCTTCTCCCTCCCTCCCTCCTCCTGCTGTGCATGCTCTCTCACTCAAATAAATAAATCTTCAAAAAAAAAAAAAAGGAAAGAAACAGAGAAGCCCATTTGCCAATTAGTTTCAAATGTTTAAGTCGTCCAAACAAAGGACTAATAGCAGTCCCTAAGGTTTCGTATTAGCTTTATTAAATATGAGTCTGTATTCAGTAATATAAATATTAACTCAATATAAATTGTTGATATAAATATTAACATAAATCTATGGAAATTTATAAATGCTCAGAAAGCATCTTAGGGGAACACAGATGAAAGTTAAAATTAGGTTATTCCAAGCATGCTGAATTTTCAGTTTCTGTTACACCATCATATGGTAATTCTGAACTGTAATATTGATATATAAAAAGTACTACTTAACTCTTAAGCCAAAAATCCCACACAGTTATTCCCTTTTCTCCTCCACATCTTTCTACACCACTGTCCTTCCTCACAACAGTCAATAGAAAGAACAACTGGCCTTGAGCAAGATCCTGAAGATTGATGGTACAGTGAACCCTCTATCCATAAATCTGACCTCATTTCAGGGCTCCAATACCTTATCACATCCCACATTAAACCTCTCCTCTTCCTCTCACAGCAAACTCTTAATCCTGACTTCTCCTGTACCCATTAAGGACACCATGAGGACCTCTGCACCCAGCACAGAAATGCAGAATCCTTTGGATTTTGCCTTTCCCCCCACCAGAGTCTCTCTGGTGGTTTCTGTCCAATCAGTTCCTTTCTTCCCATTTCCCACTGCCATCAACCCTTCTCAGTTCAGGTCAGAACTACTCTAATAGCCTTCTAAGCGCCTTCCCTTTCTAAATCCACCCAGCTTACTGTTACCAGAAAAATCCTCCTAATAGCAAGGCACTCTTTCCGACGCAATTCTGCAACTGAATGAACTCCCAACTCCTTCCAGTAGTCGCACACAACACCCACCTCACAGATTCGCTCCCAAACACCTCACACATACCCCAGCCTCATGCACGTACCACCCCCACCCCACCCAAATGATAGGCACTACCTTTACAAACACAAGCATAACAGATGCACATGTTCAACTTGTGGCCAATCCCATCCCTTCTTTAAAGCTCAGTTCAAGTCTCATCTCTCTCATGAGTTTTTTCCAAATCACTTCAACTACACTCCAAACCACCACACTTCTACTGGCATTTGGCACTAACTGTATTTCCTCCTGGGGCTAATCTCCAGAATATTGATTTGCGTGTGTGTGTTTCCTGTATTCTCAGTTTTCAATCAGGTAGCCAAGCTTTCGAAAACTGCGGCTCAAGGGCGCCTGGGCAGCGCAGTCTGTTAAGGGGCAGACTCTTGGTTTTGGCTCAGGTCATGATCTCAGGGTCATGGGATCAGGCCCCACATCAGGCTCCACGAGCAGCATGGAGTCCGCTTAAGTTACTCTCTCTCTCTCTCTCCCCCTCTGCCCTCCCCACCCCTGTGCTTGCTCAGTGCGCATGCACACATTCTCTCTCTCAAATAATTAAAAACAAAAACAAAAACAAAAACAAACTGTGGCTCAGGGCATCAAGTGGCATGGAATGTGGGCCAGCCCTATGTTTAGTAAAATCCACAGAACAGACCACACTGAGAGTACTGAAAAGACAGGAGTGGAGCTTAAAGCAATCTCAGGCAAAAAGAAATTTTAGAGGACGGGATCCACTCCTGTGGCAAGACCTCAGCAGACAACGTCCACCACTAACAACTAGGTACCAAACCGTAGGCACTCATGAGCTGGTTAATTGTTCAAGTCCTGCAATGTAAAGGACACAAGTCCTTTGTGTCCTATAAAGGTCACAAAAACTTTTACGATCATTAAATACCCTCTGAAAGTACTAAATCTATGTGAAATTTTGTAAAAAGTAATCAAGAATCAGATCTCAAGGGGTGTCTGGGTGGCTCAGTGGGTTAAGCATCTGCCTTTGGCTCAGGTCATGATCCCAGGGTCCTGGGATCAAGCCCGTGTCAGGCTCCCTGCTTCCCCCTCTCCTTCTGCTGCTCCCCCTGCTTGTGCTCTCTGTGTCAAATAAAATCTCAAAAAAAAAAAAAAAGGAATCAGATCTCAAAAATGTGCTGCCCTTCCTCCTATAGAGAGATCATAGTTATCTACATAACTTACTTTATTAAACATACTTGCTCAGGTCCCTTCCCAAAAATTTGTGGACAAGCTGGACAAAGTAAATTCAGTTAAAATAACAAAATTAAATAACACCTGCCACGGTGACCATGATCTTACTAGCACTGCACCTGATTAACTGAGCCAATTACCCATACAACTAAGTACATCTAACTTCATTCCAACCAAACCTAAGTCCCTGAAATATAACAAAGAATATAAAGTTTACATTTTAATATGTGAACATTGCAGAATCAGGAAGAACTGTAATGAAAGCTACAAAATTCTAATAGTTTTTCTTTCAAACTACTTAGCAATCCATTGATTAGATCTATGGACACAAAAATTTACCCTATGTCAGGAC